AATAATTCTTTCAAAAATAAACAAACAAACAAACAAACAACATTAATTTGGTCACTCAATACATGACTGTTTGGAGTAAGGAAGCTTGCCCAATGTTTCACCCTGTTTGTGAATTAAACCCAGGTCCTCTTGTTGCCACGTTTTGAACACAAACTATAGTCAATTCACTTTACACTATATTCTGTGAAGCGATTTGAGACATCTTGTAGACGTGATAATGCGCTATATAAAAGAAGCCCTTTATCCAGTCTATTGGAAGAGACTTTTTATTGCCAATTATAGTCTTGGCACATCTTGCTTTAAAATTTAAGGTCATGCAGAATTTTGCAAATTTCTTTACATTCATAATTCATTTGGAACAACACCTACAACAAATTACACTTACATAGCACCTTTCACATCGTGAGGACGTCCCTAGGTGCTGGATAGTCAGGGCTTTGGACCCGAGCAGGGGGTTGGAATCAGGAGGGGTGGAGGGCAGGAGTAGGTATTTGGTATGAATGCGATCAAGTAGAGGATAATAATATATATAATCCTTGTATTTGATATAGTGCCTTATCATGGCTTTTGAGACGTATCAAAGCGCTTCAGAGAATATACTGTAAAGTAAATTGACTGTATATTTTGTGGGCGAAACACGGCAGCCAATTGGCCACAGCAGTGTTCCAAAAACAGTCGTGGATTGAGTAACCAAACTATTATTAATATTATTTTTTAAGGGATTAGTAGCCCCGCCACCAATCAACTAATAATTGGGTTCCTACTTACTGCCAGGTAAACAGAGGCATGTAGAGTAAGGAAACTTGGCCAACGTTTCGCCCTGCTGGGCATCGAACTCACTTGCAAGACGAGTGCTCTAACCACTGAGCTACAGGACTCCACAAAGCACCTTATCACATCATTAAGATGCCTCAAAGGGCTTCCCAGGAATTTACAAACCATATATTACTGAATAATTCTTTACTTGGTGTTACTGAGGGTGTTCCTGGGAGTGTTACTGGGTGAAAAGAGAAGGGAGTTTTTCTCTCTCTCTCTCTCCCAGTGTCCTGGACAGCAATCCCCCAATTAAAATCGCAGGATGGCAGTCCCGCTCCATGCAAACAGTGTGGTAATGGGATCGGATTAAGCATTGTACTGAACATTTGTACAAATCATTGCCCTCCGGTGGTGGAAATGGGTACATTTGTCAATGTAAAACATGATAATAATAATCCTTGCATTTGATATAGTGCCTGATCACGTTGTCGAGACGTCTCAAAGCGCTTCACAGGATACAATGTAAAGTGTTGTGACTGTGTATTTTATGGACCAAATGCCAGTTTGCACACAGCAACATCCCACAAACAGCCATGGAATGAGAGACTGATTTTATTTGAGGGATTGTTGGCCAGGAAACCCGGGGAAATTTAATACTCATAGACACTGTTAATATCAGACTATATAGAGGTGTCACTGTTTATATCTGAAAATATAGAGGTGACACTGTTAATATCAGACAATATAGAATTGTCACTGTTTATATCTGAAAATATAGTGGTGACACTGTTAATATCAGACAATATAGAATTGTCACTGTTAATATCAAACAATATACAGGTGTCATTGTTAATATCAGACAAAATAGAAGTGTCTTATTCCTACACTAGAATCTGCTATTGTGTCAGCAGCACTCTAACCTCTCAGTCAGAAGCCCCATGTTAGAACATAAGAACTTACTAGATACTTTCCACCATCCTGGCAGCTGCAGGTCATGCACATGTCACAAAATCTATATTTATAAAATCTATATATCTATTGAAAGAATCAACACTTTCTGCTTCCACCCTAGGGAACCTGTTGCATACGTTTACAATTTGCTCACTGAAATAGTGTTTCTGCAGATTTGTTTTGAACATTTGTACAAATCATTGCCCTCCGGTGGTGGAAATGGGTACATTTGTCAATGATAATAATCCTTGCATTTGATACAGTGCCTGATCACGTGGTCGAGACATCTCAAAGCGCTTCACAGGATACAATCGTAGGTCATGTCCTTTGGTTCTACTGTTCTAGATGAGATAATTTCATTTTCTGTACATGTTACTACATCCTGAAACCATGGTACACTCTTCCTCTATCCCTCCGCTTTACCCCTTCCTTCCTCATCTTCAGATTGCACCTTCCTCTTCGACCATGCCTATTTGGATAAGTGGGATGCATGGAAATCTCAGGTTGGTTTGGAGACTCTTAAACATGGTGATGGATTTCCGCATGTGTCAGACACCCAGCTGACCAAAAAAAAGTAAACTAAACACCTTACAATAGGCCTCGAATTCCACCTGTTCTCAGGATGCAAGATCATTTTGGTCAAATTGGAACAGAATTGTGGAGACTTCGTCAGCTGAGGCTCCATTTAGAAGTGTATTGCTCTTTGACAACTGTGGAAAATCAGGTTCTGGATTAAGACTGATTTTTAAAAACATGACACAATTCTGCAACAGCTTAAATACTGATTGGCTCAGGTTGGTAACTGTAAGTCTAGCATCTAAATCAGAAGGTTGTGAGTTGAAGCCCTATGTCGTAACTCTGAGCTCAGTCTAGTTTGATGCTCCAGTGCCATGCTGGGGGGAGCGTTGCATTGTCAGAGTTGCCGTCGTTCAGATGAGATGTTAAACCGAGGTCTCTTCTGTATTAATTGAGGTAGATGTTAAGAATGTTAAGATTTCATTACACCCTTTGCAAAGTGAAGAGAGTTTCTCTCCCCGAGTGTCCTGGCCAACAAGCCTCCAAATAACTTCAATCATTCACTTCATGGCTGTTTGTGACACGTGCTATGTGCAAATTGGCTGCCACGTACGCCTATGAAACATACAACAGTTAATATGGAAACCTTTAGTTTAGTGGTTCAAGCACTCGCCTTGCAAATGAGAAGACTTGGGTTTGATTCCCGAGCAGAGAAAAACATTGAGCATGTTTCCTTAATCCACACACTTCTGTTTACCTAACAGTAAATTGAAACCCGGTTGTTAGTCGATTGGAGGATCGCTTTCCTGGGGGTAATAATTTCATCAAAGTCAAAAAATAAATAATAATTTGGTCACTCAATCCACGACTGTTTGCAATTGGCTGCTGTGTTTCACCCATTAAATATACAGTCAATTCACTTTACAGTATATTCTGTGAAATGCTTTGAGACGTCTCGAAGATGTGATAAGGTGCTATATCAAATGCAAGGATAATTATTATTATGTCAGGGTAAAAAGCCGATGGTCTAGGCTGACACCTAATGGAGCACTGAGGAAGTGTTGCATTGCCGGCAAAGAGCTGTCTGCCTGCACTTCAGGTGGATGTTAGAGATCCGGTTAGAGATGACAGCCTGGCTCAGCCACTCACACTGTCACCTCAGAGTCAGAAGTCTATGGATTCAAGCTCACATCAGGACTTTGAGCTCACAGTTAGGAAAGGCTCCAATACAGTGCTGGGGCAGCTTGCTAAAGCGATATATTCTACTGTATCCTACTCCAAATTGCTTTCTACTCCTAATCCCGGTACACCAGCCACCTCCGATCCCTCAAGGCACAGGGAGGTGTTGCCTGGGGTGATCCATGTTTCAACGATGATGTCGTTGATGGCGAAAGCCTTGTTACCGTGACATTTTGAGCGGACATTTTGTAGGCTGATGCAGAGGGACAGTTGGCAAAGAGATGTGTGTGATGGGAGATGGGAGGATAGTCAGGCAGGGTGAGAATATGGATGAGGGAGGAAAGGTTGGCCCCCAGGGTTTGGGTCCAGCGGGGCTTGCGGTGATAGTGGGGAATGGGGCAGTGAGTGTGGCTGCTGCTGGACAGCCAACGCCAAGTGCCACGGTGAGCCCGAAGGAGGATTCCCAGGCTTGAAATGGCGGCTCCGCCTGAACCTAGTAATGGCCACCACTCGCCACTTGATCACCGAGACCTCGGTCCTGCCGTTACCTGCTGACTCCTGTCGACCTCGCTCCCAAAAGTCTCGCTGTCACTACTCACCTCTCACACTGACTCCGCCCCCGCACTAACCTCTCGCCAGAACAGCTCGGTTTGGCCCACCACCACCACCACTCCTAGTTTCCTCCCGCCCACTGGCCTCGCATCCGCTCCCAGCTGCTCTTAGGGTTTCTCTTCTGTTGTCAACCGAGCCTTTGTACCTCGCACCAGTCACTGCCCGATCGTTCACCCTTGGCTCCCGCTCTCACTGCTCGTGTCTGCTCTCAGCTCTCTCTGCTTGCGTCTGCATCCACCACCTCTCCTCTTAGCTAAACCTTCATGGACCTGAAATTGCCTGGGTCAAATCCTACCTCTCCCACTGTCTCCACTTTGCCTCCACTAACGGTCTCCTCTAGCTCCTCAGTCTCATGCGGTGTTCCTCAGGGTTGTGTGCTTGGTCCCCTCCTTTTCACTATCTATATGTTCCCTCTTGGTGACATCATCCGTAGACTTAGGTTCAACTTCCACATGGCGGATGACGCCCAACTCTACCTCACCGCCTGCACCTTCCAATCAAGGACCACTACTGTCCTCACAGACTGCCTGTCGGACATCAAGCCCTGCATGATAGCAAACTTTCTCCGGTTGAATGTCAAAAGGAATGGCTCCATACCTCGGGCGCTGACAGCATTACCCTTCATAATGCACTCTACACCTCACAGAGCCAACATGGAACCTCGGCGTCCTATTTGACCCTCAACTGTCCTTCATCCTCCACATCTATGCCACGACCCACTCCGCCTTTCCCCACCTTCGCAACATTGCCCGGCTCCTCCACTGTATCTCACCGCAGGCTGCCGAGACCCTCATCCATGTGTTTATCACATCTAGGCTCAACTATGCCAACACCCTGCTTGTCGGCCTCCACAACTCTTCCCTCTACAGGTTGCTGATCATCCAGAACGCTGCAGCTGTGTCCTCTCCCACACCAGTTCCTGCATCAAATGTAAGATTATTATTAACATTATTATCACAAAGAGGGAGTGTTTGAGAGCACAGACACATGTTCAAATAAGTTTTATTTCACCTTTGTAACTGTAATGAACACACAGAAATTTACCAGTGGAAGAAACATCATGCCACAAAATTGCATAGAGTTCATACAAAATTCCATTATGCATTTTTCAGGACAATTCATCATTGGTAAAGACTTTATTTACATTGTTTATTACGTGAGCCAAGGAATTTCCCTTTGTCCCACAGTCAACCAACTCTGCAGCCTGTGCCCTCTCCTGCACCAGGTTCCGCGACCCTATCACCCCCATCCTCACCCAACTCCACTGGCTTCCCATCACACAGAGGATACAGTCAAAAAAACACAATTCAACAATGATCCCATCACTGGCCTTCCAGTTTCTGTGATAATTGATGATTAGACTTGGCGACTTTTTCACTCGGTTTGTTGTTGTTTTATCTGATGTAAGATGTCAGAATACAGTGTTGCTGTCTGTCCTGGTGTAACAATGACCTGCATTTGTTAACCGCTGAACACCACCGTTTGTCCTCGCGCTTCTGAGGTCATGATAAAGTGTGGCAAACAGCATTGTTCAGAATCGGAACAGCCCAGAAACACACACACACACACACACACGTCCACAATACTGAATACTCTGCAATTTCCACTTAGACACAAGGCAAACACATCTCAAAGGCACAAGACTCACACCACACACGCCCTCATCACTGAGTTTAGGTTTATCAAATCGAATTCAAGTAAAAGTTAAACAGATACAGAGGACGGACACTGAGCCACCGAGGCAGACCCAATACAATAAAACTAACCGCATCTTTGCAAACTACCTGCAACTAAAAAGTTTGAATTAAAAAGTAAAAACAATTGAAAACAAACAAAACAAAAGCTCCATTTACAAACGCCTGGCCTTGGCGAGCTCCTCGTCAAAACTGGTTTGTCGTCATATAAAAATAAAGAAGTTGTTTGTAGACAGGTTTGTGTAAAACGTTGACAATGATCACACAGACAATAATCTCACTGCAGACCGCTACAAGGTAATGATCCACTTCACTGCAAATAGCTTAGTGTTTAGCTTGTTTTTTAGGCATTTGTAGGAACAGTGATGAACAATGAGCAATGACTTTAAATATTAGTATCATCAAATTGACCCTGCCCTCTTTACCACTGTAAAGCTGAGAGTGTGATCGGTCATTGCTAACTCACAGGCACAGGGGAAAGCAGACAGGGCCTGATAACAATCACAATCAGTCACTTCTCAATTCACTGCTGATTGATAAAGCACCAGCAGTCATTTAAACATCATAAACGACCCCACTTTCTGAATTAAACTTGATTACAAGGCAAGATACACATTAATGCACATTAATACACTTTTGACTCCCAGTTTCTCTCTCTCTCGTTCTCTCTTGATATTTACAACTGTTTTTTGTATTGTTCAAAAAAATCATCTTACATATGTTTCCGAGCTGTAAACATCTTCTGATGTTACGTTTCAGCCGTTGGAAATGAGGATGGGCTGAATTTCTGCTCTGGAAACGGTTTACAAAAAGAAATTCTAAGCCATTGATAATTTGAAATTTGTCCACAACACAGAAGTCAAATACTTTTTTTAAAAAACCTGCAAAGTTACTTCAAAGTTACAACCACAGTACAAACTTCACAATATTACAGTTACATTTCAATGATTCCAGTGTTTCAAGACTTTCCATCATGCAGGTAGGTAATCCCTGAACTCACTTCCCTTTAGAACTGGACAAAAAAAAACTATATATAAAAAGTTTAGGACTTCTCCCATTCAAAGTAAGCAGCATTCATGAAGTAGCAATGCAATGTGAAAAGTGTACAGGCAAACTGTGCTCACATCAAGTCTCACACCACCAATAGTGCACATGCAGTCTTACGGATTAATTAATTGGCTGTCGAGATGCTTCTATTAAGTAGATCTCAACCACCCACACCCCCCACCCTCCCCACTTTTCTTTGAGAAATCAAGTGCAGGCCTGCACAATTAATTTCGCTACTGACACCAGTACAGAACATGCACATCCATACCCCCCTCACACACACAGCCCTTACACTGAGTGTTCACACCAGGACAGAACATGCACATCCATACCCCCCTCACACACACACACACACAGTCCTTACACTGAGTGTTTACTTCTCTGTAACACTCACTCACTCAATCACACAGTCACGTTACCTGCCCACAGCCTCTGTTTAGCACCTCCCCTCTCCCTCCCCCCAATGCAGCAGAATAAAGGACAGCAGAATCCATGGTGGAATTTAAAGTGAAGTGTCAAATACTTGATCTGACTTCTCTTCGGAATCATCTTGGTTTGAGCACGGCCTGTGACTGGATTTCCCACTGTCGGGAGGTACAGCTAGGGGTGCGCTGCCCTGCTCACTCTCCTCGCTACACTTCCCTTTCAGGGTGTCCTGCACAAACGCTTGGATTTCCATGGGGAGCCTCCTGAACTTGTCCTGGTATTCCTGATCCAGCTCGCTCTGCAGCTGTGAACACAAGCAAAGGCCAGGAGTCGTCAAAGCGGATATAAGGGCACATTCCCACTCGCTGGCAGTAAATCATTATAATGGTAATCTTCGGATTTGGTACAAATAGGTTCAGGACATCTCAAGGTTATCTATAAAGTGTGATGACTCTATGTTCTAGGCAAACGTGGTGGACAACTTACGCACAGCAATGTCCCTCAAACAGCCATGAAGTGAGTGACTAATTTTATCTGGCGGATTGTTGGCAGGTCACCGAGAGAGAGAGAAACTCCCTTCTCTTTTTTAGACAATGTATTCACCTGAACAGGGCACAGACAGGGCACATCTCGCCTGAATCAGGGCAGCATTGGGGTCTTACAAATAGGTGTGTAATTTTCACATGACTATTATCTTCGTGTTTTTCAGTCATAGCAACTTACTCTGTAAACTCACAAGCTCCTCAGTATGTTTTTCACAAGCGAGTCTGGCACCAACATTCACTGGTATTCCTTTCCACCCTCTGCTTCGATTTCAAGATCCTCTCACTTGCTTTCAAGTCCCTTCATACCCTCGCACCTCCCTACCTCTTCGACCTGCTTACCCCTCACTCCACCACCTGCTGCCTCCGCTCGGCCGGCTCCAGCCTCCTGTTTGTCCCTCACCCCCTCTGCACTACCATTGGCCTTCAGCAATTACACCCCAAAACTCTGGAACTCTCTCCCTCAATCCCTCCGCCTTACCCCCTCTCTCCCCACCTTCAAATCCCGCCTAAAGACCTTCCTTTTTGATCCGTGTTTATGGACACCTCCCTCTCCCTCTAGCTCGGGGTCAAACTCCGCCACTGTCAAGCGCTCTGTGACACTACCCTACGTGAAGGCCACTGTATAAATGCAAGTTGTTGTTGTTCAGCACACACAGTGAAACAGTATGAAAAAGCTATTTGAGTGACTGATGCCATTGTGCTAGCAGGTGATATACCAAGTTTACTGATAGTACAAACTCTCCATGCACTGTGTGTGCGTCTGCCTGTTCTTATAACAATAATATTCCTTGCATTTCATATAGCGCTTGATCACGTCTCGAGACGTCTCAAACTGCTTCACAGAATATACTGTAAAGTGAATTGACCGTATATTGTGTGGGCGAAGCACGGCAGTCAATTGTGTACAGCAATGTCCCATAAACAGTCGTGGATTGAGTGACCAAATTATTATTATTAGTTTTGAATGGATTTTTATCTCCAGAAAAGCGATCTGACAATCCACTAACAATTGGGTTCCTACTTACTCAGGTCCTTTCGCTTGTGAGGCAAGTGTTCTAATCAATATGCTACAGGACTCCACAAGTAATTTCAACTTGATCACATCAAAGTGCTTTTATATTTCCATATTTGCCAATTGGTTACCAGATTTGATGATATTGCATTTCTTAATGTTATTTTACATTGATCTACATTAAAACCCATGCAGCATTTTTTCACCCCATCTGCTTAATTTCTTCAGATTTGCCTGGCTCAGTAGTTAGCACTTTCACCTCGGAGTCAGAAGATTGTTGTTTTCAGGCTGATCCAATTTATACAATATACATGACATGTATATGGCTCCTCTAACACCGAGAGGGCATCTCATAACATTGTCAGAGCTTTTCTTCGGATGTGATATTTGCCTGAGGTCCTATTCAGGTGGACATTAAAAATCCCGCTGAGCTATTCGAATAGAGAAGCAAGTTTCTTCCGGAGGTCACGGCCAACAGTCCTCCAAATAAAATTGCTCATCACACTTAATTCATGACTGTGTCCAAATTGGCTGCAGTGTTTCACCCACAAATATTCTGCAGATATCCTGTGAAGCGCTTTGAGACCTTCTCCCAAGGATTATACAAATATATTTATCATCATCATTATCATTATTTTGCTCACAAAACATACACAAAACACTTTACAGTACATTCTATAAAGGGCTTTGAGATGTCTTGAAGACGTGATCAGGCGCCGCTTTATCAAATGCAAAGATTATTGTGGGTTTTACTGCCCGAACCCTTACATGAGCCCTGGCCTGCCGCTGCCTGTAACACAAATGCATTCACAAGAATCTGCAGGATTTGGGGGCTTTTATCCTTTGAAGTGACTGTAAATGAAGAGCTGCTGATCTTCAATGTACTTTTACAGGATCAATTACCTTTTAGGCATTTAAAACCAACAAACCTCTCAGTTCCCCTTCCACTAACCCCCGCCACCCACCCCCCCCAAAAGGAGAATCATAATAAACGGTAAGTTTGTAAACTTGTATATGATAATCTTGAGAATTTCGTTTTCCTTTGGTTTCTCTTTTCCCCTCCACAACCCATAGCCCCATCTCTCCATTCCAAATGAGAGGGAAGCAGATGCCCTATGGAGTCCTATAGCTTATATATAATCCTTGCATTTGATATAACGCCTTATCACGTCTTCAAGCTCTTCACAGAATATACTGTAAAGTGAATTTACTGTACATTTTGTGCGCAAATGCGGCAGCCAATTGTGCACAGCAGTGTCCCACAAACACCCGTGGATTGAGTGACCAAATTAACAATAAATTAACCACTGAGCTAAAGGTTAGAGCACTCTAACCTGTAGCTCAGTTAGAGTTTCGTGGTTGGAGCCCTCATCTCGCAAGCGAGAGGACCTGGGTTCGATTCCAGGGCAGCGCGAATCGTTGGGCAAGTTTCCTTACTCCACACACCTCTGTTTACCCAGCAGTAAGTAGGAACCTGGTTGTTGGTCGATTGGCGGATCGCTTTTCCGAGAGTAATAATTGGTCACTTATGACTGTTTGTGGGACGCTGCTGTGCACTATTGGTTGCCTCGTTTCACCCACAAAATATAGTCAATTCACTTTTAAATTATATTCTGTGAAGCGTTTTGAGACATCTCCGTATATCAAATGCAAGGAGTATTATTGTTATTATAACTGAGAAAATAAAATTCTCACAAATAATCTCTCTCGTGAATTAAGAGAGCTCTGTATCTGACAGCCAGTCAACCTATGTTCAAGGGCAAGACTTTGTGGAACACTCCTCTGAAATAAAAACAGAAATCGCTGGGAAGACTCAGCCGGTCAGGCAGCATCTATAATAATAATAATAATAATAATAATAATCCTTGCATTTGATATAGCGCTTTTCACGTCAGGAGGACGTCCCAAAGCGCTTCACAGAACACACTGTAAAGTGAATTGACTGTATATTTGTGGGCGAACGCGGCAGCCAATTGCGCACAGCAATGTCCACAAACAGTCGTAGATTGAAAATGACCAATTTAATTATTGTTTTTGGTTTTTTGGAGGGATTATTATTAGGCGTGTGGAGTAAGGAAACTTGCCCAAGGTTTCGCCCTGCCTGGAATTGAACTCAGGTCTCTCGCTTGCAAAGCGAGTGCTCTAACCACTGAGCTACAGGACTCCACTATGGAAAGAGGAAAGTGAGTTAAGGTTTCAGATCACTCCCTTTTCTGTTTGTCCTTCTAATCTGCTCCCTTCCGACATCCCCCAGTTCTGACGAAAGATCATCAATCTAAAACGCTGACTCATTTTCCTCTCTCCATAGATGCTGCCTGACCTGCTGAGTTTTTCTAGACACTTCTGTGTTTAATTTCAGATTTCCAGGAACTGCAGTGTTTTGCTTTTTATTTCTCCTCTGGATCTGCTCTCACTCAGACCAGCTCCACCTGACATATTGATTGAAAACTGATTGTACGCAGAACAATCGGCCTCCCGCCTCACAAATAATCACAAGCTATTTATGAACAAACCCTTCACAGAGCCAAGGGACAAACTGGTTGCCCAGACTACAAAATCCTTGGTAGGATTGCTCCAGCTTGATTTTAAGAGCATTTTGCTTCACAGCTGTCTCTAATCCCAGGATGGGTTTGTGTTGGCTTAAAGAAATGTGATGTCCATCACCCCTAATAGATCAGTGACAGCTTCTGACTGTCATATCCATATCAATGTTATGCAGTATTAGCTGGTTAGATTCCAGCAGTTTTCCCCAACTCACACTCTGGGGTCCCCCAAGCCTTGGCTCTTGCCAATCTGCAGAGTGGAGTCTAGTGGTTAGAGCACTCGCCTCGCAAACGAGAGGACCTGGATTCCGTTCGTGGGCAGGGTGAAACATTAGGCACATTTCCTTACTCCACACGCCTCTGTTTACCCAGCAGTAAATAGGATCCTGGTTGTTAGTCGATTGGCGGATCGCTTTTCTGGGGGTAATAATCCCTTCAAAATAAATAAAAATAATTTGGTGACTCAATGTACGACTGTTTGCGGGACACTGCTACGCGAAATTGACTGCCATGTTTCTGCCCTCAAAATATACAGTCAATTCACTTTGCAGTAAAAATTCTGTGAAGCGCTTTGAGACGTCTCGTAGATGTAATAAAACTCTATATCAAATGCAAGGATTATTATTATAAGCTGTATCTAATACTCTCAGGAATTAAGTTAGCAGAATGTGTCCCTCCAGGGAGAGAGTGTGCATTCCATTCCAACAAACTATCTCTGGGATTTCCATGTGTAGGTGGGATGCATGGAATTCTCGGTTTGGTTTGGAGACTCTTAAACATGGTGATGGGATTCCGTGTGAATCAAACATTCGGCTGAACACCCCCCAGCATCCCCCCCCAAAAAAACAGCGATAGCCATGTTATTCAGAAATAAAACGTAAATCAAGGACAGCAAATGTGTCAAGACATCAACAAATCATTCTGAATGAACTGTTGAATGTGAGTGAGTGTGCGTGAGAGCGATCAGACACAATAGCTCTGAGAACTTAGTAATGAACCAATGCAATTAATAATAATAAAACGTAGAGGAAATGATTGAAATTGACGCACAAGTGATAGTTAGCTTTGACTGTACTTACAGGGAAAGTAACACACAGGGAGCTGTAGGACTATTAGTCAACAATATTTTTCTCAGAGTATTCTGCCTCAACGTCTTGCAAATACTGCAGCAAAAAAAAAAAACATGGGGAGAACGGAAATCATA